GTGAGTGCCGCTCTCCTCACCTGCTTCAGAAAAAGCCGCCTGGCGGGAGTTTGAGGGGTGTCTTTTGGAGAGCGGGCCGGTGGGGTACATCTGTTCTGTGAAATATTTCTGGAGGATCGGGCTTTCCACGAGTTGTTTGCATTGAGGAAATGAACAGCCAGCCTAATCGGGTTTGAGTGTTGTGGTCACCGCGCCTGACTTGACCCACTCCCCTGGGGGGAGCGTATTTATCCTGCATTGATTCGTTTAAATTGTGCTTGTCGGCTGCATCTGCTGGCGCTGATGTCACTGCAATCTAGCCTCGCGGAAACCTCATGGGAATCTGCCCAGGCAACTCTGTGTTTGACCAGATGGATCCTGACCTCCTGGTGTCCAGTTCCTGCCACTGGGAGAGGAAGATAAATTTAGCAGTTTTATTACCTCTTGCCCCGGTTAATTGCATCTTTCTGTGGGGACCTGTCATGACTCACAATATTGATTTGATGTTCTCCAAGTTTGAAATAAGAGCTGTACTGATGTGGAAGGGTCTCCTTGCCATGTCTTATAGTTCTGGACCGTCTGCACATAAATAATTTGGACCAGTGTTTAGACTTAAATAGTGTCTACCCTCATTTTTTTTCTTAGCTTGATCAGGATTAAATGTTTCCTCTTTGAGGGGGAAATCTCTCGAATAACAAAAGAATGCCCAAGAGTTTTGGTGGATTTAGCAAGCGAGCTAGATGTTTCAGAAGATTAAGTGTGAAGTCATCAAATCGGCAGACACGTGCCCCTGACCAGATTTTAGTCCAGTCAGAGAGGAGAAGGTTGCTTGGTTTTCCCAGATCTGGCAAGAGGCTGTTTACCACTGTGGTGGCAGATGATTGTGAACGATGCAGCCTGGTCTAATCGTCTCCGCCTTTTCCCCAGAGCTTTTGAAACCCAGATGACCCGCCTGGAGGCGGAGTTTGTCAGGAGAGAGGCCCCGCCCTCATACGGTCAGCTGATCGCCCAAGGCCTGATCCCGCCCGTGGAGGACTTCCCAGTCTATAACCCATCTCAGGTAAGAGCCCTGCGCTGCCCGGCTCCTGTCCCCCCTCAAGCAATAGGGCTGTGAACTCCAGCCCGAGGACGTAAGTGGAAAATATCCTGAGGTACGGTGTATTAAAAACCGAAGAACATAAAAATTTGTAGGTGCTTGGAACACGTTTGCCAGTCATGTTGTTGAAGGAGATTCCCTGTTTTTTTTTCACAGAAGTGCTGGATGAGATCTTTGAGTCAGTTAACTACTAACTATGGGGGTCTTTAAAATAGGCGTACCCAGGAGTGCGCACTTGGCCACTGCTGTACAGACTAGTGTTCTTTTATATACAGCGCGGGACAATAAATATCCAAAATACACCAAATAAAATAAAGGCCTACCTAGCTCCTTATTGAACAGCAAAATGACTTCTTCCTGTCCTTCTCTAGCAAAACGAGGCAGCTAAGCTACGTAACATCTTCCACAAGCTCCTCCCAGACTTTTCACAAAAACTCATCTTCCAAACCATACTCAACTCTTCCAGTTCCTCGGTTGGTCCTCTTCTCCCTCTTCAGTTTTGCACTTGTACACACTTCGTACAGTTTATTGAAAACACACATTTGGTGCCTGTGTTTTTATACTCTGTGATTCAGCATGTAGGTTTTGAGCTTGTACCAATTCCTTTCATTTTTGGCTTGTTTTGCTGCCTAAGCTTCTTAGTCAGAATAGCTACTAGAGGTGAATGGTGCCCTTTTCAAATATCGGGCCATCAAAGCAGCTTAAATGCTTAAGAAATCCATTAAAAACACATTTAGACATTGTGAAACAGTCTTTGTTTTCAAAGATAGTTTTGTATTCTCTTTGAAATTGTGTGTTTTTAAGGGGATAGATCAACTTCAGTCAATCTGAAGTTTTTTTCACATTTTAGTGCTGCTTTCTAATAATGGGTATCAAGATCCTTCCAAGGTATAAAGAATTTAACATGCTTGTCATGGTGCATTTTGTGTACACTTTACTGCACAGGAGAAGCTTTCCACTATCAGTCTCCTTCTGAGATGAGACCACAGCATGAACACACGCCCGCTGGGGTTGGTGCACTGGTATCGGACTCGGGTTCAAGTGCAGGCCGTTCAGTTTTCGGCTGGTAGTGGCCCCTGTTCGTCACGGTGAGACCAGCTGTCGCACTGCCGGTCAGCCAGGTCCGGGCCAGCCCGGCGGAGCCGCGGTGTGGACGCTGGGTCACACCCCTTGCTGCCCACCTGGCCCTCGCTCGCTCGCTCGAGCGCTTTGTGTGTGTTGTGGTCCTGGCGTGGCCTGCTGAAGGCACGGCGTGTGTCTGCTTCCGCGCGAATCCTCTCTCAATGGCCCGTGAGCACGAGCGTCCCCCGGGGGACGGAGAGACCGAGGGGCTGACGCTGTCCTGTTGTCGCCCCCCTGCAGGCCTCGGTGCTCCAGAACATCCGCACCGCCATGCGCCGCCAGATCCGCCGGCACTCCTCGCGCCGGGCTGCGTCCCGCCGGAGACTGGGGCGCATCTGGAGCCGGCTGTTTCACCGCGGGACCAGGCTGCGCGGCCAGATCCCGCTGCTCACCCCGCCCGGAGCCCCCCACCCGCCCCTGGGAGGCGGGGCGCACAGCTACCAGGCGGTGGCGGGGAGCGAGAGGCAGGCGCCTTCTCCCTGCAGCCCGCCGGCCTCGGAGGGGCCGACCGGGGGGCTCTCCCCGGCCTCGGAGGACCTGGAGGGGGGGGCCTGCAGCCGGTGCCGCGGCCCCGGCTCTCCCCCCGCCCCCGGCGAGGCCGAGCGAGGCCTCTGCCCGCGCAAGGTGTCCCGCAAGCTGGTCCAGGGGCTGGCGGCAAACCTGAGGGGCGTGTCGGTGCGGCACTACTCCAGCCTGGACCCCCCGCCGCCCGCTCAGCCGCGCGCAGAGCCCCCCCCGGCGGGGCCCTCGGGGTGCCGTTCTGTGGAGGTGCCAATCCTGGAGGACGCCGGGGGGCTCGGGGGGGGCCGGCGGCCCAGCAGCGACGAGGACGACGACGAGTCTCTTCTCGTCTGCTGAAGGACCTCCCGTGCCCTCCGCCTTCGTCCTGCCCTCTGTCTCGGAGCCGGCGTGTGCTCCGTTCCTTTGTTTGTGGATCTTTTTCTTTAGTGGGCAAAGACCCAGTTGTCGCTGAATTACAGCGTTTCCATGCTGCAGTCATTCGGTGTAGAAGACGTAGGGGCCGCAGGAACACATCACACATGCTGGCTTGGCGTTTCCTGTTCTGCCGTTTCCTTGTTTTTGTCCAGCAGGGAGGTGATCGGTGTTGGCTTGACCCGCTGCCTGTCCCTGCTGTAGCTGTAGGATCAGTAGGTGTCCTGTGATTGCACTGTCTAGCCTGTTACTTCCTAATTTCCCGTCCTGCGAATGACGTGGATGCTGTTTCACTCTACACTGTAATATCCAGCCTCAATGGACTCTGTTTTAAAAGCTGTTAATGTGGAGCGGTCGGCGAGCTGGGCCACAAACGGCTTGCCCGGCCCGGCCCGGCCCGGCCCACAGGAGATCACAGGCAGATCCCTTTCCGCAAGTCAGCGTTCTGTCCCGAGAACACGGAGCTTCGTGAATCACCTGCGGGATAGAGGTCACTCGGAGCCGCTGTTCCTCCTGGGAACTGAAGCCCCAGCCGGTGAGCGGGGAGTTTACACTGCTGTCGGTGCAGCTGGAGAAATGGAGCAGCGTTCAAGACCAGGCAAGCTGAGCACTTCAAAGCCCATTGAAATCTGGTTTCCTTTCTCAGGAAGACAATACAGGTACAGTGATTTACTTCAGTGAAGACCAGGTCGGTTGACTTCATTTGACTTAGTTTTACCACTCTTCCTCCTTCTGACAGCACATAGTCGATCCCTTTTTTAAGAAACCAGAACCTCAGGGAGGGGGTTATACAGAAACAAGACTAAAACATATTTTCGGCAATGATTGGAAGTCTTTTGTAACCCAAGGAATTGAAAAAAGCTTGAAGCTTTGAAAGTAGATCATAATGTTTTAATGGACTGTAATAGGAGGGGTTAGAAAAGGGTAATTAGATCATATTTTTCTACATGTAAGAACTTGCTGTGATTTTAGTTGCTATTCCAGGCCTTACTAGAAGAGGTTATCGGAAATCCAGGGATATGACTTTCGTCTTGTCATTGCTGTGACTCTTAGGCAAAAACGTCTTTACCCATTTGGGAAACCTTTTCATTTTTTTTTTATTTGCTTTGTGTTACTTGCACTTGTGGGAACTATGGTTGGTGTTGGCAGATGTACCAAGACCTTGCTTTATGTTACCAAATGTTTATGGCCTTTAAGCTAGGAGTATGAGTTTTGGATAGTGTCTGGGGAAAAAAAACTGATTTTTCTTGCTTTTAAAACAACTGGAGAAAAAGAAAATGCATGGCCGCAGTTTGTTTCCTTGGTTCACTGTCTCATAACTGCCTGCGTGCGGTTTCAGTCATTGTCGTATTGGTCCTGCTTAAGAGAAGATGTTGACTCTGTCTGTAGCAAGCTGTGTCGTTTGGACATCATGGACATGTTGCTGAGTGTACTGTATGTAAATATTTTCACGGATTCTTCTGTACAGAATGAACACGTCTCATGCTCACGTCCAGCAGACAGTGGAATTACGAGGGTGAGGTGATTTTAAAGACCGCCTCAGTGGTGGTTATGGTGGCAGTAGCATACCCATAGTGCTACGCTACACCCCCCTGGGGGTGCGCCCCTTCACAGGAAACTTTCCAATCTCCACGTCTAAGTGGGGGGAAAATGACATTTATACCCTTACTTTCAGTTATAACCTTTCTTCATTAGTTCGCATTTTTAATTTGCACATTCAAAAAAAACCATCTCCGCAGACCGCATGGCACATCTGCTGGAGCGGCTCGTCCCTCTCCGCTCTGCAGTTCATGTCGTGTGCCACGCAGGGGCCTGTGCTCCTTGCCAGTGTTGCCAGGGATGAAGGTCTGGCTCATGACTTGATTAGTCTGAAAATTACCATCTGATCTTCTGTTTCCATGTTTTGATATTTTGGTGAAATTTGTCGCAATAACTGAAACAAAAGAGCAATAACTGAAATTATTGCTCTTTTGTTCTTTGTGAGTGTTTGTGGGTATTTGGTCTCCAGGAAGTCTGCCGGGGGAAGTAAATTTGTGTGACACCACTGAAAAGCTGGGAAAAAGGAGCATCTGTGTGTTACTTTTATTGCTTCCCCATGACATTTCTTTCCAATTCACCTGTGAAATGCCTTCTGTATTTCCTGGAGACTTTGGCATTTCAAGACAAAACATGCACAATAACATGGAATCATTAAGGACATACACAACAGTATGTAAGACAACTTAAAACATTGTTTTATTATGGCAACCATTTTCATTTTGGTGCAAAACTAAAAAATGTTTTTCAACCCATTTCTTATATCTGTCCTCAATTGCAGAGTAATTCGAATGCTATACAGTTGTGTGTGTGGTGGGAGGGGTGAAAGGTGATCTGTTAAAGGTTGTGGGGTGTAGTTGCTGAGATGAGATGATTGAAGACATAAATGTTAGTCTCTTTTATAACACCTCATCTAACTTGTACTGTGGACAGTTACACCTAATGCAAGTGCTGTCTTGTTTTGGGTGTCTTTTATGGTGAAACAGTACCCCCTAGTGGTAAAGATGAGCTCTGCTACTGTTCCATATAGCCTTGCCTGTCATAGCCTATGAATTTGACAGAGCGGCTATAGTTGTCCCTTTCCTTCAGTTTGACTCTTTTTGACTTCTGCCTTTGTTCACCATTAACTCCTTGCCATAAAATAGTAATATTGGATCTGATGGAAGCCATATAGTAATAGAGGCTCTGAGTTTCTCTGGAGTCCCTTTGTTCGACTAGAGCGATGCGGGTTATGAAAAGCCCTTCTGACAGGGGTTTTGGCCTTTGGAATAAAAATAGATCATTTTCAAGAACAGGCTTTTACAGTTTTTTTATGTGTGTGTGCTAAAGCAGAGAAGTGCTTTTTGTCGTTCGCCCTCATTAGCCAGTAACAACAGAATGCACCTTCTCCATTCCCCGATGGAAAGGATTGCATTATTTTTCAGTAAAGTTAACTTTTCTTTCCTATTAGGTTAGAATATGACGAACAGATCCTGTCCCATTCAGCTCACAGGAATAAACTGTGAAACTGTGATGATGTTTTACTCACACAACCACTCTCGTCCAGCTCTCTGGTTCTGGACATGCTGTAGAAAGCCGAGTGAAAGATAAGAGGGAGGATCACTTGATGGGAACTTGGAGGTTTTTGTGACTATTCCTGGAGTGGAGGTGGAGGTGTTCTGGTAACCTGACAAAAAGAGAGTCTGTCTGCTAATGTTGTGCATGGTGGTGCTGGATATTAATCAAAACATCCGCTTTCACACAGTTTGATCTTGAGAGGATTTGGTGGGGAGCAGGGGAAATGAATACCTTTGTAAACAGACTAGGAGTATCAGCTCAGGATTTGTCTTCATTTTTTGATGCCTTTTCCTTTACAATTGACCCATTTTGCTGTTAAGGCTGGAAGGGCTGAAAATCTGCAGACTGTGTGAGAGCACCCTGGTTAAATGAAGTCATGCGTAGTGTAATGGGTGTTACCACCCTGGGGAACCAGCCTGGCTTTTTCGGGATAACTTGTGAATCCTCTCTTTTTATAGGACTAGTGGCAGGCTCCTAGGCCAATTGGATTTCTATAACTAATTCCCTGCTCCCACCCAAAGCCTTAGAGGTTCTGTTTAATGGATATCAGCACTAACATGGCAGGGAAATCAAGTGCATAAGCAGTTTTGGAAAACAGGGGCTTCATTCCAGTGCAACAGGTGGGTTACTGTATCAGTGAATGTGTGGGCATAGCATCTGGATGTCATGGGAGCTCAGTTTTGTTTCATGATATATTGTAACATTTTGAGATATTTAGCTGCATTGACAAACAAGTTGCCATCTGATATATCATTTTTTACTGTATTATACAGTGCATTTTCTCTTTATGAAAGAGAATGAGGTATAATTTATCAGCTGTGCATTATGAGATTCTTCTCATTAGATTTCTTTGTATTTCTGCAGCTAGCATCACTCAAAAAGTCCTCTTTCCTCTTGGTAATAATGTGCTGGCACTGTCAACGAGGGTTGTCATGGCAACATCTGCCAGTGTTGAAGTGAACTGTGTGCAGACCTTTATGATTGTCTTAAAGTGTCTCTTCTTGTGCCTGCATTTAATAAACCTTAGTTTCATTAACACTGATGAATGGAGGTATTTTTTGTCATGGTCAAGAAGGAGCAAGGCATTCTTTCCTCAGTATTAAATTTATTACACTATATATTGTTAAGTTTCATCTTTATAAAACAAAACGTAGACTGCATAAGTTAACATTTCAAGAATGTAACCCATTGTAATAACTGATGCTTTACAAATAATTTACAGTGTATAACATCTTCAATTCAAGAATACCTCCAATACTTTGGAGTTCAAAACTGCATAGTCCTAAAACAAGGTTACAGATTTAGTCGAGGGTGTTGTGAAATGCTGCCAGTGCACAAATAGCCTGTTCCTCTACCTGTGCGGTCAATGAACTTGGAGATGAAAGACAAGGATTTGGGACTTCAGGTAACTACTTTATCAGCATTTAGGACAACAGAGGGTTGTAACCCATTCCTTGCTCACGTCCCTGTTCAAAAAACATATTTTCAAATTTCTTCATGGAAATCACAGTACTTACAGCAGGTAATTTGGTTATGCTTTTTAAATGTTGCTGTTATAAAAGAAAAACACTTTTTATTTGTTTTAATGTCATGAAGCAAAAAACTGAATTGTTTTCATCGTACAGTAGCTGCCTGAAGGCACCTCAGGTTTCCCCTTAAGTGTTATTTCAGTTTTTAAGGGTGTTATATTAAATCTTACCAAACTTAAATCTAAACCAAGGCATCCTCAAGTCTGTTCAGCTATTTAAAACAAGGTGCAACCAGCTGTAACATTAAAATCCCAGTGTTGCCAATTCTAACACTCATTCATACAGACGACAAAATATTTTTCCCTCACAAAACCCAGGGCACTTCAGATTTCCCCTAAATTAGGAATGAATGATCACTGTTCATTGTGAAACTGAGTGTTGTTTTAGAAAAAGAACAATAGCTTCTTAATTGGTGGTACTGGAATGTATTGTTTTTACAAACTGGCAAATTCTCCTGCATGAAAAATGGCTTTTGGTGAAATGAATGAGGCTGGAGTCTCACTTGCAATCTGCAAGTTTCAAACTTGTCTGGGGGTGGGACTCCATTTGTCTGAGAACCCCCTGTACCTACCCAGTGGAAGGATACTGTCGATCAATGGGCTGAAGGTTTTATTTCAGGCCTAAACTGGAGAGATCTGGTTTTCTGTGTGTGAAAACTCCTCCTCATTCTCATTAACAGATAGATTTTGTATTGCCAGCCTGCGATAATCAGCACAACTCACAGTGCAGCCGTAGTGGATGCAGTACACCAGTTAAATGATAGGAGGAAAGCAAGAGGCTTCTGGGAGTTAGCATTTTGCCATGGTAAGAGTAGCAGGGGTTTGAGGAAGAGTGTGGAAACGTGACGTACATTATCCATCCTGTTGAAAGGGCACGTTGGGAAAGGAAGCAGGGATTTAGATGTTGAAGCGTCAGATAGGAGCTCACAGACCTGACACTATGAAGGAAAAATTCAGAAAGATGATAATGATAAGTGTACTGAACATCATCTCATCTTATAAAGATATGGTGTGGCCAAGATTATTGTTAATAAGGAATTATTTATACTGTGGACAAAATGCTATTTCACTTTTTTCCAATAAGGCACAATCAAATAAAATATTCTGTTTAGAGTCCTTAAAAATCCACTTGCCAAAATTTCAATAGTTAAGATAAAAAGAAACATTAAATACCTCAAGCTCCATAGGGAAAAGAGCAGTTCATGTCACACTGTGGTACTGTTGGTATTAGCTTGGTGTTTCTTATAGACAAGCACACAGTAAAATATGCAAGAGGCCCAGTTTCTTAAAACCAATAAGTCTCCCTTAGTTGTGCAGAACCAAAACCCTGGTTTGAGATGGATATTGGACATGGAGCGTGTTGAGTCTAGGCTTGCCACTGTAAACATTGTTTACACTTTGAAGAATCACGACAGATGTCCCGGGCACAATGCCACATGCTTCACTTTTATCAGTCTACTTGGGCATTGCCTCGTCCTGCATGGGATCGATCTGGGGGAAGACGACAAAACACAGCTTCTGTCCTACATACGTGGCAGATTCTGAAAAAAAAAAAAAGACAGACACAATGACTTTGGCTTAGTTCAGAATTCTCCACCGACCTCCCCGCAGTATTTCAGCCAGCCCATGTCCAATAGCGACTGAGCCGTTTGTATTCTCCAGCACATAAAGCAAACGCAGATTTCTACCGTGCTTTGAACATCTGGGAGAAATGGTGTTCAGTACGCCTAGTTTTGTTATGTAAAGTCCAGTCTTAATAATAATAGTAATTGCTTACACTTACATAGCACTTTTCTGGACACTCCACTCAAAGCACTTTCCAGGTAATGGGGATCCCCTACACCCCACCAGTGTGCAGCCCCACCTGGATGATGTCTTCCATGTGAGCTATACACTACATTACAGCACTGGGCACAATCAGCAGACTTGGAATAACCATCCATCCATTTTCTAACCATTACTTCCAGTTCAGGGTTGTGGGGGAGCTGGAGCTGATCTTGGCAAGAAACAGGGTACAGCCTGGATGGGACCCCAGTCTATCCCGGGGCGAGTCCACTCTCACCTAGGGAAAATACTCCCAGAAGCCAATTAACCAACCAAGAGCACTGTGGGAGCAAACCGGGGTGCCCAGAGGTAACCCATGTGGACATGGGGAGATCCAAAGTCCATGTGGACAGCACCCCAGGGATCAAACCCAGGGCCAAAGCACTGTGAGGCTGCAATGCTAACCACTGGGCCAACCACAATTCAATACATTTCTCTCAATCTGAAGTAACACTTCTCATATTGCACATTGTTTTAAACGGAGACCCCCGTCCTCAGGATTCGGCGTTTGCCAGCTGGATCATCCCAGAAATGACTTCAGAGCCCCCGGCTACGGTATGTCAAGAACTGTGCTGATCAAGTCTAAAACATGTGAGCATACTTCTCCTGTGCAGAAACGCCTGTGCTGGCTACCGGTCTCCTATGGGACTGACTTTCAAACTCTCTTGCTGACCTGCTGGACCAAGAGTTCCTGTCCCCTCACACTCCAGCTCCCTCACTTCTTTCCCCTGGAACTGGCCTCCTCAGTGGTCCACATTGTGCATGAGGCTGAGGTTGTTCAGAGGCAGACTCTTGTCCATATCAAGAACACATCCACTGCTGAAATCTCCCCTCAAAACTTACTTATATTTCTTTAAATTTCTTTTAATTTTCATTTATATATCTTTTTTTATTTTGTAATTTTCTTTTTTTCTGCTTACTGTATATTTTTATATACATCATTTATGTATTGTGCAATGAAAATACTCTAGAGTGAAAGTTGCTATATTGATAATCAAGGTACAGCAATGCAGAGGGTTGGAAAGAAACCATGGGTTTTAATGGGTTAAAGGGCAGAGAGGAGAAAAAAGGACAAAGTTGTTCTGTGAATTGGCCAGAGAGATGGACATTGTGTCCTTACAATTTCAAATTTTTCCATTATTTAAATGAGATGCCTTCAGGTATTAAGATTGCTGTGCAAAACAAATGCGCTTTCTTCTTGTTTTTCAAGTTAAGTGTTTTTTTTTATGAATAAATAAATAAAAGTCCTTTTAAAGGGTAGTTTAAGGATAGTCTCCCACAAGGGAGAAGTATTTTAGTAAGTGCCTATGCACAGTAGTTGTGGTTTTGCTGCCCTCTACTGTTAAACAAGAGTTTGTCTTTTGGAAGGAAATTGAATTACACAGCATCACCCCACACACAAGGCTGCAGTTATTTGTGTAATTTGGATAGTCCTTAGATTTTATGAATGTTAAAAACAATAGGAAGATAGCAACAGCATAGGTGTCATAATACAAAGCCTGTTTTGAAACCTTTAAAACCTTTTCACCTGTTTTTTAAAATGCAAGATCACTTGATATTTGGGAGTCTGGGAAGTGTCACTGATGGGACCAAATTAGCAGAAGGTCTCCAGATAAAATTTAAACCACGTGCATCATTGTGAATTTCACCTCACTGTCCAGTAGCTGTGGTAGCAGTAGCACTATCATGTAAAGTACACAACTGTACAGCTCCAAAATATGGTAACATGTTAGGGGTTTGCTAACATTTCAGCATTCTGTCCAAAGCACAGCTGCAACAGGAGACTCCAGATCAGGAAAAGCTGTGAGAGAGAAGATCTGCAGAAGGCGTTTGTGCACCTGGGCTTTTCGGTATGGAGAACACAATCCTCGTGTGCCAGGTAACGAGGACTCTGTTGACTTACCTATGAAGCTGTCTAAACACTTTGGCTTCTTTTTCCAGTGCACTCCCAGGAAATAGACAGGCACCCCTGTCAGAATGATGATCAGCCCGATGCCACACACCACTGGTTCTGAGTACATGCTGAACACCAGCAGGAAGGCCCAGAATATCAGGTAGAGAACTGGAACGATCAGATTCACCTGGGGGAAACAACAGCTCAGCGATGAGGAGGTGAAGCACTGCCTCCGAGTAGCTCTGTTAGAAATAGGACGCCAATGGAGGCAGAAATGCACAACCAGCTTTGTAGTACCCTCTTGCTAGTCCACATTCAACCGTTCTTCCTGCATCGCCGGATTCATTTTAAATTGTACCTTTTTCTTTTCATTTTTTTTGCTGGAATCTCAAAGTCATTCACCACCATCATGATTGAGAAAAACCAGCACAAAAATAAACAAACCAGTCAGCTTTTTTTCCTTCATTCTGTTTGATTACACTGATATGTTTCTTTAAGCTTTGTCAGAAATCAAAATATTATTTTTAAAAATATACTCTTATGCCAAAAGCTTTCTTAAAAGCTGTCATTTCTCTCAGGGCTTGCTGATCTAAAGCAGATTAGCAAACAAAGTTCAGATCAAGGGTCAAAGCATGTACCTTGATGGGCCTGTGGAGTTGAGGTTTCTTCCACCGGAAGAACAGCAGCCCTGCAATGGTAACACCATAGGAGAGGTAGTTGATGAAGGAGACATAGTTGATGAGTGTCTGTGTCTCTCCAATGCACAGGATCACAATGGTTGCAGCACACTGGCAGGAAAAGACGAGAAATGTAGTGAATGACTCTTCTTTACTTGAGAGGAGGGAACTGAGCTCTTAGAAACTGTTGTACTTCCATTACACTGGGAGTTTGATTTAACTGTAGTTAAGCTTCATTAAGGTGTCTTTTTTATACAGACTTTTAAAGCTATCCTGCTGGCTCCCTATTTACTGCAAGAATAAAATAATTAAGCGTAAATATGCAGTTATTTGTAACAGTTTCTAAGGAGACACACTTGCGGCTGAAAGCGAACAGCAGAGCTCCAGGTAGGGACATGTCAGGCGAGAGTGAAGGAAGACACCGTGAGAGACGTGAAAGCTGAAAGGACTTTCTGCAAATGTAGCTCAGTAACATTTGTCTTGATATTTGTATGTTAAATTTTATTTTGATATATGATATTGATGCATGTTACCTTATTATGTTGTGCAGTGAATACAGTAAAGTGATACCCTTTTCCTTTCTTGATTTTCATCAGGCTTGACATTAAACAGATTAAATCACTTCATCACCTGTGTTCAATCAACTCTCTCGCTAATGTGTTGATTTAGTACTCTGCTGCCAGAGTCACTCAAGTGTATCCTCAGCAGTCATGAATGATCAGTTAATCACAATGATGCACTGATTTTGATTAATGGATTAATTAGAAATGATGGAAATGTCCAGGATGTATTTTTAATTGGATTTTAATTCAGTCATTTTAATTTTCTTTTAGCTTGAAATTGGGTTTAAGTTATGCTAGAAAGATTTCAGGTTCTTATCTAGTTTCTAAATGGTTCGTAGCTCATTAATCAGTAAATATATGCCACGCTTCTGCACAAGTGCATTGGTCCTCTTTTAGTTTAAAGAGAGGCAGAGACGTACATTGATGTCTCAAGCCTATAACTTCTATACATTACTGATCATACTCTAGACTGCTTTTTTATGTTCATTTGAAAGTTAAAAAAGGTTTCCCTGAATTGTTCTGAGACCATGACATGGTCAACAACTTAATCAATATCAAATAATCAGTACCTAAAATCTGTCCACTTAATCTGTCTGAAACATCCGTGCATTCATAGTAATATTTCTAATGATGAGTAAGCAAAGGACTGAAAGTGCTGCTTTGGAATTTGTGAAAGAAGTGAACATGAGTTCCTGTGTCTTTGTGCCTGTCTGGTTTTTCATCTCTCTGCCTTCGTACATCATTGTCTTGAAAGGTGAATGGAGTGTAAGTCTAACAAAGGAATCTGTGTTTTTTTTTCAGATCTATTCTCCATGTGTCCCTGTTCACACAGACACAAGTGCCGGGAGGCTGGGCGAAGCAGGCAGCGGTGGTGTCTTACGCAGACCAGGAGAGCGGGGATGGGCGTGCACTGCTTGAAGTGGATCATGGCGAGCAGACTGGGCAGGTGTCCCTCTCGGGCTCCTGAGAAGCATAACCTGAAAGAATCAGTCAAGTTGTGTGAGAAGCAGCTTGTAAAATTCGAATGGCAGGAAGAGTTTATCACCTGCGGATGGGGCCACATTCTCTCCCACTTACAGCACAAAGGACATCCACCCACTTTTTAACAGCTTTATCCAATTCAGGTTCGTGGGGGAGCCAGAAGCCGATCAATCCACCAGTGTGTCTCTGGACTGTGGGAGGAAACCAGAGCCCCCAGGGAAACCCACACGAACACGGGGAGAACATGCAAACTCCACACAGACAGCATCCCAGGAATTACATCCAGGGCTCCAGGACTGAACGACAAATACCATGTGACACGGCCTTACAGGCTTACAAATCAGAAGTCGAATAAGACAGAGGAAAGAAAGAATAAGAGTAAAGAATAAAGAATGCACTTATTTTGTGCAGAATAAATAATAGCTGAGGGGCCCTCAAGTGTTGGAATATTCTGTGAGTGCTGTGAATAATATGTGACCGAACCAGATGCATACATGCAGACTGACCTGGAGGAAGTGAAGAGATAGCCGTTAATCCCTCCAAATGTAGACAAAGCCACCGAGATAGGCATGATGGAGCTAAACATTCCGAGGAGCTTTTCCCCAAAGGTCTGCACACAGAAAAATCCAGGATTAAAATCAGACACAATCTGGTAGTTAATACAACGATATGTCCTGTATAATATAATATCTGTTTCCATTATCTCACAAGATGCAATGTTGGAACTTACATTAATTGCATTAATGAGTGTTCAATTAACTTAGGCGAAGCAGTGTTTAAAATAACTATTGTTAAACAAAGTACTGATTTCACCAAAATCTCAAATAGCCTTTCTTCAGTTACATGTGACTTCAGAGACTGCATGTTTATGGCCACACATGCAACACCTTGCAAGAGTAGCCAGCAGCTACCCCTAATGTCACATTGTGATGTAGTCTGATGCCGAAATGTATGCATTTTTATTCACATTAATGGGCAGACGGCAGAGCCTGTCTGCACTTCCTTGCTCGCTCTGTTTGGGTACTGGGGTTGTTGCAAAACGTAAAAACTCAAATTCCAAATTGGATGGGCAGGTTAGTAAAAAAATCAAACATTTATTGAACCGAAAGAGCCTGCTGTGACCACTTTTTTACCAGAGTGGTGGGGGGAGAAGGGGAAAGGAAGCTGCTGCAGCACCGGATGGTGTGTCCTGCCCTGCTAGCTCCAAAGAGCTGTGTAGGAGAGTCACCACCGGCTGGAGGAGGGGCACGGTGCGCGCCGATGTCACTGCACACCCACAGATTTGCAGCAAGCCAAGGGGGTCTGTCTTTTGGGGTTTGCCAAAGGGTTTGGGGTTTGCCAAAGAGAACTGTGGTTGGCTCAAGCCCTTCAACCCAGGCATGACGTAGCTTGTTGTGGATCAGTTCCCTTGGGCACAGTCAGCTAATGAAATGATCCAGTCTGATTAGCTGGATGAGCTCGTTTTCTGAACCAACAGCCATTGGGAAGCCCTCCCCCAGTATACCTTCACATGTACTCAGAAGAGCAGCACCTGACGCTTACTTACAACAGCCACTGCATTGGAAGACAAGAGCTCCTCGGGTGACATGGCGGTGAAGTAGGCGATGTTGGTGAATGTGTACACAAAGGTCACCAATGGGATGGAAATGTAAATGGCACGAGGTAGATTCCTAACAAAACAATGGACAACATTATTGCAGTTGCTTTGCAGTATCTGATCACTTGCAGCAAAACTACTGTACCTCTAACAATTCTGCTAGTTCTGACATGTGAACTTTGTGAATTTTACACTGTAATTTTTCGGCCTTAGTCTTTTACCAAAAGGGCTAGCTGGGCCAGGTGGCTACCTCTCCTCAGTGACTATTCCCCTGTTCTTATCTTGAACAACTGCACCAGCATACAGTACCTTGTCCACGAGCGCACAGCCTGGGGGCTGATCGCAGCTTGTGATTAATTAAAAAAAAACAACCTGTCTGTTCTATTAAAAACAGCTGTTAAGTGAAATCCAAAATAATTCACTTGCCTCCTGGGGACTGTCACAAATTACATTTTGAAGTTTGGAATGTTGATTGAAGAAAACCCCCAAGAACGCACAGGAATGTACTGTATATATTGTACATTTCAGGACATGGCATGCAATAATGGAAGAATGTTAACAATCCTAAAATTTGTTTTAAAGTAGATAAAAACAATACATTCTAGATATCAGCTCGCTCTGAGAAAGATTGTATAAAAGGCCTCCGATCAGCACAAATTATTTAACCGCGTCGGCCTCCTGATAGTTCTGTCATCGTGACCTGCTGCGAGGGCAGGCCTGGAGGTGACTGAACTCCGCGTGTGCGGCGTGGAGAAACTAGGACCTCACCGCCGCGGCTCCACGACCTCCTCCGTCACGTAGTTGAGGAAGTTCCAGCCGCTGAAGGCGAAGGAGGCCTGCAGGAAGGCCAGCGCCACCTGTCCGACTGAAGGCGTCTTCCAGAAGTCAAACGCTGCCTGTGGCGTCAGGCTGTCGTAGTGCCCTTTGTGCAACAAAGAAGAATCGGAGTTCCTCCATTTGCCAGACAGCACGCCCGCCTGTGCTGGGCAGGGTTTTTCCCATCTGTCGCGTGCATGCTTTCAGAAGTGGCACGGCAGTGTTTAAAACGTGTCTTAAACCCAGTCTGGGCAGATGTTATATCGAATGGAATACGGGCACCCAATTTCTGCACCAATTTGCAGTGGATCTACTCAGAAAAGGACTGACTTGTTCATGACAGGTGCCTTTGAGTACCGTAATACTGTAGCTACTGTAGACCTCATGCATGGTCCTCACTTCCCCCACTCTCCTACCACACGCTCACAGTGGGTAAGTGTAACGCACAGAGCCATGTGGCACGGCACACTGACTGCACAACACACACTTCTAGGATTTCCTCAGGTGGACTGGATATACGATCAGTCATGACTGCCCAATCCCAAAACAAAAAGAAATACAGAACCAAAAGGTAGGGATTTCTTCTCGTAGTGTCAGGAGGGCTCTATCGTAGGTGGTCTTCAGTGACCAGTCAAAGGCAGGAAAGACAATAGGTGCCCAAGTCCTGTGCATGACCCTAAAGATGACCCTGGCACGGAATTCTGTGTGGGAGCCAACACATTCTGCTGCTGTACAATGGCTCTTGCAGAGAGGCTGTCTGAGGCTGTAATGGCTCTCATTACACAGGCTTGAATACTTCCGCCAAGCCTGGGGACCCCAGATTTAGAGCACATTACGAAACAAAAACAAGCTGCTGATTTTCAAGAACCTGCTAGGAAGTGGTGGTGCAAACTTCAAATGGCTGTGCATACTCGGGTTTTAAAATGACTGTGTTTTTTTTTGCAGAAGCAAAAACAGATTCCGATAAAAATATGAAAATGCCAAAAAAACTAAATGAAAGATAGACTAAAATTCAACTATTAAATAATTTTTTCACTGCAAACTTGCTAACAGAGAATTTGTAAATATTCTTTAAGATTGGAGAAGAATATGCTGGACAGTATAACTGTAAGGGGTATTTTCTCTGTGCCACTACAAAACAGCCAATTTTTCAACACAAACTGTAGGACTTTACAGTTCTGAGTAAAATAAATTAACCTATCATTTTTTAGATCATTATGGTAACTTACAGTCATTAGAACATTGACATACCCTAAAATGATTTGCTTTTTAGTTCATTCTGAGACAATGTTCACATTCCTCCCTATTCACAGGGATTTTCCAGTTCGGTTTCAAAATATGAATGAGATCTTTTTATTGATTCAAAATTTGTTACATTGTGTGCTTCTTGATTTTCTAACATCTCACCCTGTGGTGTGCCCTGTCTTTGAATTTTGAAGACACTCTTTGGAAACACACACCGTTTCAGAAAACTCCAACAATGTTGTAGTTATAATGCTGAAACCCTGTCAGTGCCAGTTTTTACTAGACATAAAAATAATCCCCAAGTCTGAGAGAAAACCTATTAATTCTGGAACTGCATGTATATATAGATGGTAAAAAAAATATATCTAAAGATAAATATCTAAAAAATACCTAAAGAAAAATATCTAAAAAATATCTCAAAGAGGAAACTGCTCTCCTGTTCTTTGACACCTGGTATAATAGGCTGAGAACTGAATTATAGTCTTTAATCAACACGATGGACCATGAAAGAGGTTAAGCCCAGGATGGGCCTGAAGCTCACCTTTACAGATCTGCACCAGACCTACTGTGATGATGAGGCCCAGAGCCAGCAACTTGCCCACAGTGAAGATGTCCTGGATCCTAGTAGCCCAGCGCACACTGGAGCAGTTCACCCAGGTCAGGAACACTAGGGACAGAGAGAGAATCCAACTTAAGCCTTACAGCCAAAAAATAAATATGGAAGTGATCCAGCCTCCAACAACAGGGTACAGAGTTCTACAGTATTTAGTGCCCTACTAACCTGATTTACTGGGTGAACGCAGAAGATGAATTGACAGCCATACACAAGAAGAGAAAGCACTTTCAAGTGTTATTTAGTACCACAATCCTTGCTTAATGGTGAATTTGTTACTTCAAATTAATAGGTTTTGCTTCCTGATGCATTTATAACAGAAGCTCACGTTTCATACATCCACCCCTTTCCTAACAGCATCATCCAATTCAGGGTCACAGGGGAGCAGGGGCCTATCCCAGCAAGCAACGGGCTCAAGGCAAGGTACGCTGTGGATGGGACACCAGTCCATCGCAGGGCACTCACAGACACACACAATCACACAATTTTCCCAGAAGCCAGTTAACCTCGCAGTATGTTTTTGGAATTTGGAAGAAACCCCCTGCAAACGTGTGGATAATGCCCCAGGTCCTGAACTAAAACTAGGGACAGCACTGCAAGGCAGGATTGCAAACCCTGCTCCCACTATGATAGAGGAACATGTGTCACAAGAGACATACGCACAGCTATACACTCTTGCCTAGGTACATGCATACACAGTATGTGTATTGTTTCTATATTCATGTTCACACACATACATATACTCCAGTTGTAAATTATTACAATGGGGTTTGTTTTTTATGCAAGGGGAGCGATGTTTCGGTAGCCTAACCCGGGGGAACACCAACCACCCGCGGCCCCTGTTCCCCGTCAATGTATACACATCACTGAGTGGCTATCCCCAGCTCTTCCACAGGAAGGCAGGCTCCAGTCTCCAGGACACGCTGTGCCGATGGGCGCCGGCATGTCGGAGTCTGGGGCTGAGGGCTGGATTTTTCCACCTCGTCCATCACTGTCACCTCCCTGTGGGCTGCAGTTGCTACACTCCCACAGAAAGGGAGCTGTGTGAAAAAAAACTATAAACAGCTTCCGATGCCACAAAACAAGAAAGAGAAAACAAGCCCGTCTTTGAGGCGCTGTGCGCTCCCGCTCACAGGCTCTGGGTTATCCAGCAGCCCGAGCAGCTCCCAGAAAAAGTGAATCCAATTGCTGCAATTGTTTCCAGAATTAAAGTACCATGTACACATCTAAATGCCATGGTAGTCTCCTTGTAATTTCACTTGTAAGACCTGTTCAGCCCTGCTTAGAACAAGGGGCGTGATTATTTCAGTGCAGGCACAATGCCCGTTACAATGAGTGAACTGGAGAATTTACAGGTAGATTAAGGCCAGAGGAAGTCACGTGATCACGGGGCAGCCAGTTGGCATGGCGACAGTGATGCTATGGTGAAGCCTGGTCATTAGGGCTGCCTTTGACTTCCTGACTCCGAGGACAGGGAAGAGACAAAGGTGTCTCTTCATCCGGGTTTAGGTGAATATCTTTGCCCCTTGACTCCCAAAGTTTACTTTTACGGTCGATTTTGTACCAAGAAGGGTAACTTAGGGCTCACTGCAATTAAAAAGCAGAAGTAAATTACAACGTTCCACTTGCAGTGGTTTAACAGGGGCTTAAGCTGACAAGACGTCTTGAAAATGAGGGATCTCAATTCCCTGCTTCAACCCATGAGTTATTTAAAATGCAGGTTTGGTTAGAACTAGTTGTTTCTTTTTGTGTAACTCATTATGAAACCGATTACCCCACACGGGTTGCAGAAACATGGCACATTGCAGGCTGGCACAACTTCAAGATGGAAGGCAACCAGCTCTCATCCAGGAGAGAAAGTTGCAGGACCACTGTAATGAGGCAGTGGAGGGCATCCCGAGTAGTATGGTCCAGACACCGCTGTTGGAAACCTGACAAGAATGCATCACAGATGGTGCTTCAGCAATCAGCATGGTAGCAACCACAGTCGGCAACAAGCCCAGTGCCAAGGAAAGTTCAGGGGCAAAACCCGTCACCCTAGAGAGCCGAGTGGAGGGAGGGCCGGAAGGGGGCCGGCTCATTTCGGTCAATCACCACAGACAACTGCCCCCCCAAAACTCTCCTGCAGAGGGTCGCCAGTCTTCATTCAATAGAGGGGCGACAGGAGACTGGGCCTCAGGACGAATGATGGGAGCAGAGCCTTCTGTTCAAACAGCTGGTGAGGCTGGGTCAACTGATGCATGGCGTCAGCTTCAGTGCCGCTGCCAGGGAGAGGCGTGGAGAGCAGGACAATGAAGGCAGCCCTGGGTGAGGGCACCACTGTGGCGAAGACGTCGATGAGTGGCAAGTTGATCACCCAGGCTGGGCAAGATCAGGTCCAGGGCTCCGAGGAGTGACAAGGGGCAGGAGAGGCCCACCGGCAAAGCCTCACCTGTCGCCCTGTGCTCCCATTGCTCACGACCCCTGTGCTAAAAGGTACAAAAAGGAGCAAGAAGAGCTGTCCTGTAGCCGGCAGTTGGGGGGTCCAGAACCGGGCACATGACCTGAAATCACAGCCTTCCTACTGGGGGACACATCTTCCCAGAGGTGCTCATGCGGCAGAAACTGGGCAGAGTAAACACAAGACAAGCCTTCAAGCCAGGTGAGCAGCACAACCACAGCTTGGTTAAATTCTCAAGGTAACACAACACAACAGCAAAAGGTGCACAAGGTAAGACCTCAAGTCCCACTCCTTTATTTTTAGGAGGTAAAAAATAATAATCCTCCCTGCACTTCTTCGGCTTTCCTCGTCTTCTTCCTACAATCTTCCAGGTAATGAAAACGACAGCCTGGAGATCAGGAAGAAGGTCTCCGTGCTTTTCAGGGTGTTTAATGTATATTAAGGTTTTTTAAGGAGTTTGTGCTCCTTGGCCAAGGAGCAGCCCCCTGGCAACAGGGCCATTATTAGGCCTGTGTATCAAGTAATCTTGAAGGATGTTTCTGCAATACGCATTTCTTTTGGTCACGTTATAAGGCACCACATCTTTCAAGATTGTGTTTACATTTAAATTTGCACCACTAGGAATAACCGTGATCACCACCCTGTTGTTTCTTTTTTTTTTAAAGTACAGAAAACCCAAGAGTGGCCCCAGCGAGTCCGATGACTATGATCCAGCACCTGAAGCAACTCCCTGAGTGCGATGCTGGCAGGAGCAGCACAGGGTGCGGAACAGCGCTACTCACAGAGGCAGGTGGTGGACAGGGCTCTGGTGGCGGTGTAAGGAGGAAGGCAGTCAGGGAAGACAGGCTGCAGGACGTAGCTGGAGAACGTGAGAGCTATGACTGCCAGGGTGGTGGGGTACATTATCAGCACTGCACTCCACAGCAGCAGAAACCTGGAGAGAGAGACAGACTCTTTAACCTCCTGGTCAAACAGGAAAGAACAGGAGAATGGGAGCAATGTTTTGGTAGTCTAACCAGGGGAACACCAACCACCCACAACCCCTGTTGCCCATCAATTATAGTACTGTAGTGTATATACACTACAGTCGAGAGCAGGCCATTAGGCCCTTCAAGCTTGTTTGATAACGAGCAGTCAATTGATCTGACTGTTTCTTGAAAGAAGCCAAGGTATTGGCTTCAACGACATGGCTAAGTAGCTGAATGCGAAGGGCAGCATGCTTCTGCTACCTGTTTTGTAAAGGTATGCCTCCTGTTTTCTATTTTAAATGGACTTGCAGGGAGCTTCTGCCTGTTACCCTGGTTCATGTCTCACTAATGAAGTCAAATGGGTTGACTTTGCTGATACCTTTGAGCATTTTGGATACTTGTATTCTTGAACGTGTGTACTTAGGAAGGATTTAGTCATCCTGAGATAAGCAAACAGAATAAATGGAATGGATTGGTTTTACAGAGAATAGAGGGTCTAGTCTGGGGATTAAACTGGTTGTAGAATTTGGTGCATGAAGACAGTGAGATGACCACATTTGACCACATCAGCTTTTGCCACATTTTTGCGGCATCTCTCATGTCCTTTGTGGTGAAGTTTTTTTTGGCATTTTACATTATTGATGAACCCTGGAGCAAACCCCAGCTGCTTAACTTCACACAGCTGTACAAAGAAAAGAAGCACCAGCATTTCCAGATGTTAACACTGCGATGCGTCAATCTGAGGAGCACGTATTCACTCTCAGTCCTACAAAACTGGTGATAAGTTCCGGACACATGAACCTTTAGGCTTGTGTACTGACTAACTGATGAAGAGCACTGGATCACACAGTAGATCAGAGATCACTGGGTCATTGATCATTGGAGATACCAGCCTGCTATTATCACATACTTATTTCACAACTATATCAAGAATAGAGCCATTACTTTTTATTACAAAAAAACATTTACACCCTGTATGTGTTCCATCTTTACTTATAGCATTCCCTCCACCATTTCTTCATTTTGCAGTAAATATTTCACACACAAAGTACAGATTCCGCAGGTAGAAACAAACACATACAACACTTACCCTACTAGGCCTCCGAATATTTCTGTCACGTAAGAGTAGTCGCCTCCTGATTTGGGAATTGTTACTCCTAGTTCTGCGTAGCACAGGGAACCCAGAGCTGCGATCCCTCCTCCCAGCACCCACATGATGAGAGCCAGCCCAACGGAGCCCGAGTGCTCCAGAACTCCTTTCGGGGAGATGAAAATTCCAGAACCAATGATGTTACCTGTGGGCCACAATTAAAAAAACAGAACATCAGCAATCAGATTTCACAAAACACATTTTCATTATAAAGCACTCAGCACCGCTGAGAGTGTCCTATCGTACAGTACCATCTATAATATTCAATCTCTCGAGCCGGTTCTGGTCCTGAAGGGAAATGACCGAGCTGAATACATTATCAAGTTATTTTGTCTAAATTACCACCAGTCTTAAATGACACCCTTTTAAGCTACTTGTTGAAGCTACTGAAGGAAAAACTGCTGCCTCTGCCTAATAAAATCGTGTATGATACGGTGAACATCCGTGAAGAACAAGCCAGGTCCTTCTTGTGTAATTGTGTGGTTCACCTCTGGGGTTGGTTTTGGAGGAAATGCCTACTTGCACCATTAAGAAAGCAAGTAAAAGCAGTAATATGTGAGAGGAGGGAATGTTTCTCTTTTGACATTACTCCTGCTGGTTCCTGCGTTATTCACCTCAATTAATTACGGCCAATTAAACCTCTGCCTCGGCCCTGCAATGTCTGTCTTATTTTAGCCACGAAAACTGAATTGAAGGATCCACCCCTAGCCTGAGTCTTGGCAGTGCTGCACATTAGAGAAGCACAGGCTGTTCTTACATAAGCAGGCTGCTAAATAATTTACGCTGAAAGTCTTGCTCTTAAGCTGGAACTGAAATTAGAGTTGCCAGTATGCTTCATGCTTTACCTTATATCTTCAAAAACAAAAAGAAACAGAGGAGATACCAAAACACTGAACTCCGCTGAAATTAGAATCAAGGACATAAAACAGGAAACGCTGACTTGAAGCATGCAGATGTTGCAGATGTAAACTCCGGGATGTCTTGACACGAAACACTACCATGGTTTATCCTGTTTTGTCTTGTATACAGAAAAAAATACAAAGTCAGATTACTTACTTCACCTTTTCACGCAAAGGAGTCTACAAGTACTTTGTAAAAACAAAAAATCAAGAGTGATAGAGAGCACCATAAAAGAGGAGCAAAAGAGGAAAAGAGGAGCAAGCACATGTTCAGCAATGGTCATTTGTACATTTTGCCTGTTACTTAAATCTGTGCAATAGCACCTAAAAGCCATTAATAAAAGCTACTTGTTTCAGCTGATGACCTAGAACAGGATCGACAGTCCAACCATGGTCCTGCAGGTCCTGCAGCCAGCTGTAAATGCTCAATGGAGCTGAGATCCGGAAACACAAACTCCTCCTAATTAAGCAACTGATTGATCCAATTATGTTTTTCAGAGCTTAGAACAAAAAAACAGAAAACCCTGTGACTTTTCAGGACAATGGCTGCAGGCATCTAGCCTAGAAAGCACACCCTACGTTCTGTTCACAGTCACTGCATTCAAAGATCTCATTATCAATAATTAGGATTTCTCCCTTGATGTTCATTGCAGAGCAGATACACTCTGCTGACTTCCTGAAAACACTGTTCAGTCTAACTGCTTTGCCAGAAGCTGCTGTCAAGTCTTGAATATGAAGAGTGGCTATGGGTGTTTAGAAGCCATTATGTTCACAGCTTGTCAAAGAAAATCAGTCCCTCCTCTGTAATATAATGTTACATTTTCTTAAAGGTTGTTATAAAGGCACTCAGGCTTCCAACAACATTTAGCATCTTTTTAATTTGTGGAGACACCCTGTGTGCTCTGAGTCACAAGTGCATCAGTTGCCAGTGGGCGTCCGCAAAAGGACACAAATTTGTGGAAATCTCTGAAAAACCAACACACTGTGTGACCGTGCCAGTCAGGTTGAACTGTTAACTGCTTCCAGCAGGTGCTAAGCAGAACCTTGTGTAGTATGGTACGGGTCTTTTACATGTACTGTATGTACAGTAGATCTGCTACAGGTGCCATTAATATCCCATCAACCTCATCAACCACCCATGATCAGAAAGCTGCTTATTCTTGGTGAGGACTGCGGCGCCAGGAGCCTCTTCATCATACTCTGGAAAGGAAGCCAGCGTCACAGGGCACACACAGGGTGCGTGAGACCCCAGTTAGCCTGGCCAGCCTGTCTTTGGGAAGAGGGGGAGACTGGAGCACCCTGAACACACAGAGAAACCTCGAGGGCAGCCGCCTGGAAACTGAAGCCCCGAACCAAGCGAGAGATGCGAGGCAGCTAATCGCCACTCAACTTCTTAGAGCTACATTGTTGAATAATTCGAGTCGAGAAATAATGGAGAACACCAACCTTTGTCCCAGATATTCATTCATGTAAATAACACATACAGCGGACGTTTCCAGACAAACCATTACGTTCTTTTCATGAAGGTTTACAATTCTAGGTAAAAGTACTTTCATCACCTTCTGCGCAGTTTGTGCTTTTCCTAAACGTCACTGCGATTCCCGAGAAAGAGAGCGATTTTCTCTCCCCCGTCTTTTCTACAGTCTCGCTCGGACCGCAGGGGTCCAATGGGGTTCGAACCGCTGCCACTAGCTTATTCACCTCTGCGGTCGAAGGTCGAGGTGGGACCTTATCAACATGAAAACTGCTTTTGACTGAAAGGCCACACACTGCCGGAGCGCGCAGAAGGACACTGTGCTACAGAATACTGATGCGCTGAGCGGACCGCCGGCTGGGACTGACCTGCCAGCGTGCAACACCAATCCCCCCAGTTACCTGTTACTAGCAAAAAAATCCCGATTAAAGAACCACAGCAGTTGTTAGCTTTTTGAATACGCCGTAGCGTCGTTTCTTGAACAGCAGTGCAGAAACAAATCTCTCTGCACCATCCTTTTAACTTCTGAAACGCAGTTCTTAAAGTTGGGAATTTGACCCTATGGAGCGAAACCTGCTGAAAGCGAGATCACAGCACGTACTGTAGAATTGCTCCAAGAACAACATGTAAGTACTGTCATTCCCCGAAGTCTAACGGATTCGGTTAAACGACACTTTCACCAGCATAACGCAAAACGTTTAATCATGTACCCCGCTGAAAGACGAGCAACATTTTTAAGTTTTCACGGGCTGCTCGACCACTTTTTCAAAGCGCCGTGAAGCTGTCAAAACTCTCACCTATGATAATGGCACAGGCGCTCAGTAATCCAATTTCTTTTTTAAGCGTCACTCTCTCCGGGACGGGGTCGCGCTTGTTGTTGCCATCTTTCACCATCGCCTCCCTCGCCGTGGAGTTCGGCTTGGTGCAGTTACTTCTTTTCCGATCGGCTCCATCCATTTCCGCGACCATTTAAAAGGCTGCCCTCGGATCTCTCTCTGGGGCTGCTCTAGCGCATTGATGCACGCTCAATAGCAGGCGCATGCGCCGCCCGGCGCCGCCGCTCGGGGCCGGAATGCTAAACACTCGGGCTGCGGACGAGCTGATGCGCCGATACACCTGCGGCACGCCCGCCTCTCGCCGCTCCACCGGGCCAGTCCCACCGTGCTGCTTTTCAGTGTACTGATCCGCAGTTAGTCAGAAAGACCTCAATCAATTGACCCCCCAAAAAAAAACAACAACCCCAAATCAAAACACCCCCCCAAACTGCGTTTTTTTAAGTTGCGCGCAGAAGTTAAAGCTTAACAATGCAGACGAAAGCATACCAGATAGAACTGAGCACTCTGCTGAACTAGTTTTACGAGTTATCTTAATTATGCCTGTGGATTTCGTAAATTAATTGTCCTGCTGGATGAGTGAAGGACAGCCCAGTTGTACTGTGTTACACTTAGAACTGACAGGATCCGTCCTTCAGTTATTATATACCACGACAAATCAATAACGACTGGGACCAACTAAAGCATACAGACAATTGTACTTAAAAATAACCTTCTGAATAGGGCATGTATCACAGAAGAGTACCGCTGTTTTAGTGGATAGCGTTTACATCATAATGGATTCAAGCTAGGAGGCAGAATGACAGCAGTGTACAGCTGTAGACAGGGTCTCCTGCTATGAGGAAATATGTTCTTAAAGGGAAACATTCTATAAAAACATCATGGTCATTTTAGGGCTGTGAAGACCAGGGATTTTCTGAAAGAAATGTTTTTTTTTCTGTTTTGGGTCTCCTATGAGCCATCAGCTACATAAATTGCATTAAATCTTTTGCTTACACATCCAGATTTTGTGCTGGGTCTTGATCACTGATGCGATCCTACATGAGCAGGCCCTCTGAGAACAGAAGGCTGTTCTTGACCTTTACTGCAATGTCAGCCATAAAAGAGTCATAACATAGCTAGCACATGAAGATTGCAAATGAGATTGAGGCCACTCATTGATTTTCTAACTCTTTCATGCAATGCAGGGTCACAGGGAAGCCAGAGTCTATCCCAGCAAGCCACGGGCACAAGGCAGGGGACACCCTGGATGGGACACCAGTCCATCACAGGGGACACAGGCACACTCACACACATTCCCTTTTTCCCAGGCATGGCTAGGCAACAATGCTGACCAGTGCCAGAGCCGCCACGCCGTCCGGATCGACACCTGCCAATTCTAAAAGGCGTCCATGACCCAGGAGTCGTTCTGCAGCACGACGACTTGCGCTGACCCCAGGCGAGTGCAGCACACGCAGGAAGCCGACTTCGAACTGTTACCCCAGTCGCTTCACTGTCTGTCCTGATGGGGCTCGAACTCCAGCGATGGCACAGGGTCCGAGGGAGGGGGCTGGGGAAACAGGGAAGAGGTGGCAGAGGGGAGCAGGTGGGCAGGTGTCTGTACACAGGAGGTTAACCCCTCCACACCTGTAGTTCTTGGTTATACTAAGAACCGCAGAAAAGTTTCAGAAACATTTCATTTATCATAATGTCCTGAATGCAACATTGATAAAAAAAAGTTTTGTAGAAGTTACTCTTATTTTATTTAAGATTTTTTCCTGGTTAACAGCAGGGAGCTGGGTTTTATGTAAGAGTCTTATATCTTGAACGGTGCACACTTCTTTTACTGTAGCTTCACATACAAAACAGGTACAGTGTGTGCTAGGTATACGTTTGATTTGCTAGCCAGTGAAACTTTGTCCACCTAGAAGAAAAAAAACAGCCTTGAAACCATCCATTTTAAGGCTTTCAGCTTTACACATATTGTCTCATATTTGTTCCACTTTCTTTCAAGGAGGTCAGAGAGAACACGGAAGAGGCATTAAAGCAGAAAAAAGGAGGCTCTGTGTAAATTAGTAAATTGTTTGGGGAGATTAAGTCCAGAATTATTATAGCAGCTTAAGGAAATGTGCTGCACAGCCTGCTTTTAATTAAACTGCTAATCAGTGCTTCCTAAACAGAGTAGGCCTTCAGTCACCACAGATCTGCCTAACCCCCTGAGAGCTCAGTAAAGCCACATGGAATTGTAACATTGTGGGCACTTCTTGGCAACCTGTTCAAGGGACAGGCCTCAAGTAAACCCATTTTAATGAAGCAAGGCTAGATGAGAGGAACCGAGTGGCAGGTAAGGGAACTTTACTGGATCTCCTGCTGTGAAAATATGTAACGAGGTGAAGGATATGGTTTTGCTTTTCTTGAATTTCTCCTTCAAACTTTCCTGCATTAAAGAATCCTTGCATGTTTTCCCTTTATTTCACAACAGTTCTTCATTAATAAAGTGAATAAACAGAAACCTTTAAGCAAATAAAAAAAGCAGTACAAATATATTTGATAACTCTTACCTCTTAGCTATTAGTATAATCTAATAATAATTTCTAATAATTTAATAATTAAAGTGTGTGGATTAGTGGATTAAACTGCAACCAGCTCTTATGGGTCCTCTTTAGCTTTAAAATGGGAAAAAAGTCTCTTCACAACACAGTCAGACAGGTGCGAGTAAAGCACACAAACGTCTGTTTTGCAAACTGAGGACAAAGGCGTACAGGAAAGTAATCTGACACCTGACACAACAAGGGAGGCTTGTCTGTTTCTGTCCTGTAATGAAAGAGGCTGGGACATGGCACCCAAACACAGTGGAGTTTAAACTGCTGGTTTGGGTGGGGCTTCGTAAGGCTATTGTGACCCCTAAACTGCAGGAGCTTGATTCTCAGTGTTACACCTGGTAGAACTGTGGGTATTCTCCTGTCCCAGAACCCCCAGTCCTGGTGGCCATGGCAATGCCGACAGAGCCACACACAGACACACACTGCGATACACGCACACACAGCGGGGGAGCAAGGTTCTGCAGCAGCTTTCACATGGGACATGTGCAGGTGTTGGGAACATCTTGAAAAGGGTAAAAACTCAAAGCAAGTGATTCCCCAGCAATATTTTAAATGGTGACTTTCTAGTTAATGTTTATGTAGTGGCCCAGAATTGCCGGTTTTAAGATAATTCACGCAAATTCCCGAGCCGTTGAAGAATTTCAGTTAAGAAAGCCAGAATTAATTACAGAGTGAAGCCTAAAATCAGGAGAAAGCAACCCCCTCTGTTTGGCTGCTGATTTGCATGTGCATTTTTATGTCCATTAAAGAAATACACTTCCTTGCCTGAGCATGTTCTGTCTGACCTCTGCCCCCCACCACTTCTCTGTCTCTCCAGTCACTCAGACACACGTTAAAATAAAACACAGCTGTGTATAATAGATGCATCTTTGAAAGGCTGCCTGAGAGTGTAGGGAGTTCATATTTTAGTCATAATATTCTAAAAATGGAAACCCTGCAATGCCAGGAGCAGACAGCTTAGTGCTTTCTTTTCCATCTAATAGAGCTTGACACGTAGTTTAGGAAGTCAAGTCGTGAAGTTGTTACAAGGCTTTTCTCTCTCACTAACACTGCCCAGTGCACAATGGAGTGCCCTGCTTAGACTTATCCTGTTAAAGCACCACTGAAAAGAGGAGTGGCTTTGTTAGCCAAGAGGCTACATTGAACACTGGCTGCAGTGTGTGATGACAAAAGGGAAGAAGCAGAAAACCAATATATCACAGGAACAACTGGGCCCAGCGCAACAGAATGGGTTACCCTCACCCCGACTTCGTAAGACCGCAATGTGCACGTTTCTCAGCAGAATGCATTTAAAAAAACTCAAGTCTCCAGTAAGTTATATTTTTCTAAAATAACATTATACAATACGGTAGAAAGGAACAGCACAAATGCAGAAGCAGACCTGAGCATATATCATTCTGTCAGTTTGCGTAGATTTTAATTTTGCTTTGATTGTGTATTAGTAAAAGTAATCATGAGAGATGATGAGACTTTGCACTCAGGAGTTTTAAGGACGATCTATGAAAACATGGAATATGAAATTGGAGCAGACAGCTGAAATGCTTGCTGTTATAGTTAAAGGAGAGGTGTCCATAATTCCTGTAATAGAATAGATCCATTAACTACTGAAGTGTAACACGGTGCCTTGCAGGTGTGCTCCTCTGTCACTTGCACTTGTTTGTAATAACGAACAGAGATTACCAGTACAAACAGTGCAGCAATCATACAGTGCAGAACCAAAACAGAGTACATCCATTCGGACATGCAGGATGCTGGAAAATAAAAGTGAGAGAAAACGCGGGCGATATAAGCTGCCTTTTCATGTTCATGCAATTCCCTGTTCACAGGAGCGAACTGGCTTTTTCAACCGGCGGCTGAGGTGACCGTCTGCAGTTGCGGGACTGCGCAGGACAGAAGTCGCAGAGGCAAACTACAGGAAGCCAGGCGACCTGGTGCTAACCGGTGTAAAAAGCAGGCCCGACAAAAGCACAGGAAGAATTACCCACACAGGCTGCCAAGAAACTGTTCGCTCATTGAGGCAGGGCGCTTAAGAGCGCTGGGATGGAGTGCTGCTCAATGCGCAGGCCGGGAAACTACTATGCGAACAAAAAGCGTGACTTGCAGGGCGTTTACACTGCAGCCCACAATTTCATCATATAGATTCCCAAAGCGCCGCGCTTTCCCCTCCAGTAAGAAACGTATGGTGAATGTTTCCTCGATCGAAGTACTTTGCTTCCCCAAAGAATTGCCATGTTCCTGCATAAAAAATAATTTGTAAACAATAAAGTCAAAGTTCTTTGCGAGAAGGCTATTGCTGCATAGCAACTGAACACTTGAGGTGCAATGAAGCTTGTATATTTCCTCTTTAGCTTTAGGGTGGTTTTGTTGCTATTTTTTTACTTGCAGCTTCTGAAAAAAAAAAAGACAACCAGCTTTCAGTTTTTTCGGAAAAAAATCTGTTGAGAAGCGTTTAGTGGGCGCATTGAACGCATTAGAGGGTCAGCGCTTTGATTTTCAATAAGCACTTCAGAGCATCCACACACGTAGAATTAATGTGCGGGCCATGAGCCAACTGTATCAGATTTAAACAAAAGAGAGCTTGTCTGAACTAAAATAAACTAACAGTTGTCTTCTGGTTAGTACTGTGGTATAGCAGTCGTTCAAACGTATAATCAAAATAATTTTCTTAATTTAAAATGTTAAAAAATGACTGATATTAAAATGAGGTTTCCGTTTAGTGCGTCTCGACTTTGTTTCACAAAAATAGAA